TTTATATTTAGATATATGTGTATATCTAAAACTTACACGTGGGGGCGCCTGGGTGGTTCAGTCAGTTAAGCATCCAACTCTTGATTTTGGCTCAGGACATGATCTCAAGCTCCGCGTTGGGCTCTGCTCTGATGGCATGGAGCCTGCTTGGGATTCTGTCTCCTTTTCTCTCTGCCCCTCCCTTGCTTGCTGTTTGTATCTTTCTCAAAAATAAATTTAAAAAAATTTTAAAAAACAAACCCTTACATTTGTCATATCTAATATATTTAAATAGCAACACTAATAAGAAATTTTCCTAAGCAGCTGAAGGGAGAAGAGTATACCCACTCTATCACTATGACTTGCTTATGAATACCCTTATGATTAGTGTTTCATCCAGTGCCAATTTTAGTCCAGGAGAACTAGTACTTTCCCTTTGCATTTACTTACATTATAAAATATTCAGTTGGCCCTAAAGAAATACACAATCTCTCATTAAAGCCTCTGGTGCTAATTCACTTTATGGCATCCTTTAGGGTAGTGTGGAGGGAATATGTATGAATTCATAGGATTTGATGTTCACATGGAATAGCGTAAGTCAGACATAACTGTGTTCAAGCTCCGATTTTGCTGTTGACTAGCTGTGTCACTTTGGCAAGTTACTTAACTCAGAATCAGTTGGATATTCCAGGTTCATCTTCCAGTCCTTTCCAATCCAATCAACACTGCTTGTGATAATAGCCAATGTGTATTCTCTGCTTCCTGGATACCAAGCAGTGTTCTAAATGCTTTACAGCTATTAACTCATATAAGTCTCACGGCCTTTGGAGGTGGCCACCATTCCTGCCATTTGTATAGATGAGGAAGTTGGAGCCCAGAGAGATTAGGCAGCTTGCCTTAAAATGACATGACTCTCGTGGGGCGCCTGGGTGGCTTAGTCGGTTAAGCGTCCGACTTTCGCTTGGGTCATGACCTCGTGGTTCGTGAGTTCGAGCCCCGCGTCGGGCTCTGTGCTGACTGCCAGCTCGGAGCCTGGAGCCTGTTTCAGTCTGTGACTCCCTCTCTCTCTGACCCTCCCCTGCTCACGCTGTCTCTCTCTTTCTCCTAGAAATAAATAAAAAAAAACATTAAAAAAATTTTAAAAAAAAAATGACATGACTCTCTTGATAAGTGATAGAGCTGGAATCCCAGGCAGCTTGGTTCCACAGTTTGTACTCTTTTTTTCTTTTGTTGTTTGTTCCTTTATATGGAAAGAGACAGAGAGAGTGCAAGCAGGGGAGGGGCAGAGAGAGAGCAGGAGAATCCCAAACAGCGTGGCGTGGTCAGAGCACAGCACCCGATGCAGAACTCAAACCCACAAAACCGCAAGATCATGACCTGAGCCGAAATCAAGAGTTGGATGCTTAACTGACTGAGCCACCGGGTGTCCCCTACAGTTTGTACTCACTTCATCCTAATTTCATTTGGGGCTGTAAGATTGGATTTAAGCTGCATAGCTTTTCCCTGGTGGGGAGAGTAAAAAAGTAGATGGTGTCCTTCCCCAGCAGTTCATTAGTCATCAGTAATTTGTGTTGAGTGTTGGGTTTCCTATCCTACCTCCTGCCACTAGCCATTCAGGAATGTTCATAAACATGTTTTCAATGTTCAAGACATTGAAAAGCAGAGTGATCATATTTGCTTGATTTAATAATAAATACTAGAATACAAGATTTCATGGTCAGGTTCTTTGGAGCTTATACCCAAAGAAGAAGAACCATTTTTGTATTAAGATATTTAGAAAGTTCTCACATGCTTAGCAAGGAAACTAAATTAAGCCCTGAGCTGGGCACAATTATAAATATGCTGTCTCCTTAGATGAGTAAGTGTATGTAAATAGAACAGTTGGTATACATGCCCTTAATGGTATGGCTTCCCTTCTTTCTATGTACTGTACATCACCAAATGTGAGCATTTCCATCTGACAGTAACTGTCAGTCTCAGAACAGCACGTTGTAGGATTCAGTACATGTTGCACAACAACCAGAATTGCTCTTTTCTTCAGCATGGTGATTTTTTTTCTTTCCATATCCAGAGGTTAGTACCAAGGCCTGAAACTCTTAGTTACAGAACAAAGTGGCTTAGCAGTAATCGAGCCTGTGTGAGGCTAAGAGAAGAATAATGAACATTCCCTGCAAGCTTCCTGCCTAGATGCAGGTGCAGGAATCAGGAGGTCATGAATAATGCATGACATGCAGATGAGGTGGTGGTTTCTCCTACCGGGGTTTTGACTTTGCTACCTTGCCTGGCTGCTATTTGTGGAAAGAAGGGAGGTGATGGCCAGACTGAGCTCACAAAAACACTGCGTATCCTTTTGAAGAAATAAAATTTGGGGAGTAGCTGAAATGCAAACCTTCATGGTCTGCTTCATCAAATGAAGCTAGCTCCAGGTTATCAATTTACTCCGTTTCAAAAAGGAAAAGAAGCTCTCTTGTTTTACCGTTTTAATTTAAGAAACTTTGTAATTATTTGTTCATACACACACTGACATAGAATTCTTTGTAGACTGCTAAACCATGATAGAAATTACCTACTTACAGTATTTGAACGATGGATCAATGAGATTTTGTTAAAAGATCCAAATGCCAAGAGAATATTTTAATTATAAGTTAAACAAGCCCATTTTCCTCCACTGATATATAAATAAGAAACTTCAAGAAGAATATACTTCTATCATGAAACTTCACCTGGTTAGAGGATGTGGAATGAATTAAAGAATTGTGAGTGTTTGGGTTATTACTCCTTAGAACTTTATTTAGGCAATAGGATTCTGGCACCCAAGTGGGGATGTGGGGAACGTTAGGAGGACTTAGGTCAGGGGGATTTAACTGGGGAAATATTTTTTGGCTCACGATTTCTTTTTGATGTTTGTATTTCAAGCAGATAGATTGAAAGAAAGAAGAAAAGAGAAAAATGAGTCTTGCTACCTTTTGTATAATTCTTAGGCAGTTCTGTGGCATGTTTTTTTTTTTTCTTTCTCTCCAATTTGGGGTGCCGGAATATGAGCTGGCTTTCATTTCTAGCTGAGTCTGTCATTTCCGCCGGGCCCCAGTTTGGCCAGACGCCAAGACCAACAGGTGATCCTTGTAGCTGCAAAAACAGCAGGAAGTGGGCCGTGCTTGAATGAGACAGTTCACCAGAGGGGCTGTCTGGCCCCTCTCCATCTTTCTGCATAATTAACATCCCCTCCCCCATGCAGAGCAGAAAATCTGTGCTGAGCCGCCCAGCTGCAGCAGCCATTGAGAAGCACTGTGAGGAAAAGAATGTTAATAAGGGATGTTGAAAGAAATAAGCCTTCCGAGTGCAAAGTGCAGTCTGCCTCTGGATTTACAGGAAGTTTGCATCTGGCCCTTCTGAGGGGCCAGAACGGTACTATCTGTTCTGAAATGATTTTCGCTTGCTAAACAGCTATAGAGAACTGGGCTTCTACTGAATCTTGGAGCCGCTGCTTCTGACTTAAAGACCAGCTTAAAATCTCTCTTTTCTCTCTTGCAAATAAGAGAAATGTGTGGGACGTACAATAACACAAGCCGAAAGACGGCCTAGATTCACAAATCCTAAGAAAGATAGAACAAAGCAGGAAGTTGGCCACAGGGAAGCAGGAAGTAGGGCATATTTCATCCAGTGAGCCACCCACAAAGAGGTGGAGGGTGAGCGCTAGCTCCTGATTGGAAGATATCAGCAGTTCTTGGAAATCTAAACTCTTCCAGTGGATGACTCTAACCCTGGAAGCTCGTAAAACAATACAGCTTTTGCTTCGCCGTTATTTCGCTAGTTTTCGACTGACTACCTTCCTCATAGCCCAGCTGCAGAGCATGACATCTAGAAAGGTTTTCTCCTGGAAATAACTGTTCACCCTTCCTTCCTCTCCCATTCTCCAATGCTGTTCCTGGACATTTGGATGAAGTTACTTGTAGGGGAAGGGAAAAAAAACCTTTTATTTTCCTAGGTTGTAGGTCTGAGGGCCCGCAAATTAAACTGACAAAACACTGACCCACACAAACTGACAAAAGACAGATTAGCGAGAAGGGGCAAAAAACACATCTACACATGTAACGTGCATACATGCGAGAATGCTCAGCAATGTGTAACTCAAAGGTTAAAATTGGGATCTTCTATACCATTTAACAAAGAGCGATAAATTGTGACGTGACTAGTCAAAAGGAAAGGGGGAGTGTTCTGAGCTTCTAGTGGGGCGGAGGGTAGGAAAGTAACTAGGAAACAGATGGGGGAAATTAATGGTAAATAAGGATCGTTTACTCAGCCACATCTCTGTACCTTCAAGAAAATGAAAAGAGTTTTGTGTTGCACTTCGTGGTATTAGAGGTGGGGCAGGACACCTTTACAAATGAAAATCTCCTTTACTAAGGAAAATTGACGTTTTTATTTTTAGGCATATAAAAGGACAGTATAGACCTCCTCCTGTGTCTGCTGTTTCTTACTTGTCTGCAACTCGAAATAATCCTTCTGCCAAAGTAGCATATTTGGGGGTAGTATATCCTGATCTCCTTCATTATCCTGCTTCCTAGGGATTGAATTCTAGTAGTTGATTCAGGGAATGTGCACTTAGTGTCCCCCGGCATCCCTTGTGGGAGGACATAGCAGTTGGGACTCATCGAAGGCAAACATCAGACCTTTCATTACTTTCACCTACTTCTAAACCTGGCAAGGATTAGCTAGTCCGTAACTTTTTTGTTGGACTAAGTGAATCTGTCATTCAATGAAACTGGTGGTCCTGAACTTGAGGGTCTTCACAGTAAACCCTGTGGCAAGTGGTTATGTTAAAAGTGGTACAAAAAAGGAAAGAGAGACTGCAGGTGTGGATGCATAGGAATGAATTGTATTCTTTTACTAAGAGGTGATTAAGTTGTGGGGCATTAAGCATACCTACAGGAGATCATTTATAATCAGAACTTTTTTTTTTATTCATTTGTAATCAGGAATGTGCTTTTTTAAATGACTGGATTATTCTCATTTGCCTACAGAGTACATCCGTCCCCAGTATCAAGGGTCCGGGGAAATCGAATGAATAATCAGAAGTTTGCTTGGTGAGTATGTATCTAAGTTATGAAAATGGGTGAGTCTTATGGGAAGTTTTAATAGGTCTGCGTGAAAACAGAAGAGAATTATTTCTACTTCTCTGTAGAGAATACATTTCTACTGAATATCCACATTGAACCAGAGTCTCCCTTTCCTTTGGAAAGTTCTAAAGAAAAGCAATCAGGTTCCTTCTCAGTGAAAAGAGTTCAGTCACCAAAACCGGAGTGCAACATTTTTCTCCTAACAGATACGGTATATTTTCTAGGATTATCAACTGTTACATTTTTAAAGAATGTTTCCTTTTTTGGGAAGATATTGTACATTTTTTTAGTGATATTTAGGCAACAACTCAGATTTTTCTTAGGTACCAACTTTCAGTTCTCATAAAGATTTTTGTAGTAAATTAATCTATGATATTAATTTTGATGATTGCTATTTAGATTATTTTTTTCCTCTGATCTTAGGTGTAAATATCCAGGGATTTTTTTTTTTAATTTGGGGCATATGAAGACCTTATTGTTTTCTTTGTCTTTCTTCTTTCTCTCTCTCTTTCTCTCTCTCTCTCTCTCTCTCTCTCTCTCCTTTCCCTCTCTCTTTTTGGCTAAAAGAATATACATTTATTCTCTTAAAGTTCCAGAGGTCAGAAATCCAAAAGGAATCTACTGATGCTACATCAAGGTGTCAGTTGGGTTGATTCCTTCTGGAGGCTCTAGGGGACAATCCATTCTTGACATTTTCTGTCTTCCAGGGGTCATTCTCAGTCCTTGGCTTATGGGCCCACATCACATGGCTTTCTCCTCCTGCCTCCCATGCCACACACTGTCTCCTTCCTTTCTGTAGTCACATCTCTTTCTGCCTTCCTTTTACAAAGACACTTACTTGTGATTACATCTCAGACCCACCTAGATAGCCTAGAATAATCTTCCCATCTCATGATCCTTAATCACATCTGCAGAATTCACTCTTCCATGGAAAGTAACATTCATGAGGTCCGGGAATTAGGACATGGATTGAAGATCTTCTTGCACTGAATCGTTCTTGAAAAAAATACAGATAGGTGGAACTTAGAGGAAATGACCTGAAAAGTTATTTCAGTCGCAAAACTTCGATTACTAATTCTTTAAAGAAGTAATTTAAAGTGTTTCACAAATGTTTCATGTGAAACAAAAAATTAATGTACTGTCTTTGTTTACATTACTCCATTCCACAAAATTAACCTTTCTACACATAATGCTTCTTCAAAAACCGAAAGAAAAGAAAAAGAAAAAATTGAACTTTGTACCGTATTACTTCAGGAGTCAATGGAAATTCACAGATCTCCAATTTTACTTCACTGAATTGTGCTTAGAATGGGATTTTGATTAAAAACTATGGCTTTTTTTAAGTACGGGAAGATGATTACCAAAGATTGAGCTTCCAAATTAATTTTGCTCCTAAATCAGGATTATTTTTAGACACAAAATAATGATTCTCTGAATCTGAATAGTGTGTAATCAGCTCACCTCCCTTCCCCCATTAAATCTAATTAACCCTCACAATAGCTTAGTGATGTTGTTAAATATTGCGCTTTTCTTTTTCACGGAGGGGGAAATGGAGCACAGGGAATACAGCCACGTGGGTATACACTGTCTAAAAGCAGGGGCATCCTTCATCATCCCTCTCAGTCACTAAAGCATATTGTCCCCTGTCAGACCTGGAAAGTCAAGAGAATAATAATGCCGACACCCATTACATAAATGGAAAGGGAGAAAGGTGGTCTTTTCCTGACCGCCCAGAACTGATATTCCTTCTCAGTACAAGGCATACTGTACTAAAGAAACTTTATTACATACAGAGAGTATGTGATGCCCAAGTGAGCAGCATGAGCCAATGGATAAGTACACATGAATAGTTATCACATTCTAACAACTGATTTCTCAATGGCTAAGTGGCGATCACTAAGTAAATAACAAATAGTCTTTCCTTCACTCTTCCTTTCTGAAGTATTGGAATAATGGTAATTCGTTCCTACATAATTCATAGCCCATTATTTGGTTAGTAAGTTTAAACCACTTTTATCTCCAGAGAAGTAATCCATGAAAAACAAAAAGGATTTTTACTACTAGCCTTGAGAAAATTCAACTTTTATTTATTCAGCAGCATTTATTTACAGTCCCTGGCACTGTGAAGAGCACTAGATTAGAAAGATAAATGAAACATGGTTTTCATCCTCAAGGGGCTCACTCTCTTTCAGGTGAAGTGTGTGTGTGTGTGTGTGTGTGTGTGTGTGTGTGTGACGTATATATGATACACAATATTATATGATACCATATAAATAACAACATGTAATAAAATGTGGATAATGCATTAAGGAGCTATACTTATATCAGAGGGAAATGTTATCAACTCTATTTAAGACCCGTTCTATCCCAGAGAAGAAGGCTTCTGAGTAAAGACTTAGAATTAGTAGGAAAAACAGAGGGTTGAGTTACTGCTTTTGTATATATTGAAATTCATAAACAAGGACCTGGAGATATTTCTTTTTTTTTATTTTTTATTTTTTATTTTTTATTTATTTTTTATTTTTTTACAAATACTTTATTGTCAAATTAGTTTCCACATAACACTCAGTGCTCATCCCCAAAGTGCCCTCCTCCATGCCCATCCCCCCTCCCCCCCACATCCATCAGTCCTCAGTTTTTGTCAGCATTCAAGAGTCTCTCATGGTTTGCCTCTCTCCCTTTCCCCCACCATTTCCGCCCTTGTTCTCCCCCTTGTTCCTCCGTCAAGTTCCTCCTAATCCTCCTATACGTGCAAACATATGATATTTGTCCTTCTCTGCCTGACTTATTTCGCTCAGCATAACACCCTCAAGGTCCATCCATGT